TATGTATCTATATATATATATATATATATATATATATATATATATATATAACTAGAATTAAAGTTTTATCTAAAAGTAATGGTCTGCATAAAGTTTTTGTGATATTTAATTGCTGGGTAAATTTGAATTACTGAAACTCTAATTTTGACTTTATAAAGTTATATACTTCAAAAATAAAATTAAATACGCTTTATAATTTCAGTTGAAGATTGTTTAAATACTTGAGAGGGAAGTTCCTTACACAAGTAAAAATTAAAATATAAATCTCACACTTGAAAATTCTTTAAAAATGAAGACAATTTTTTATATTAAAAATATTTAATGGGAAATTATTACTTTTCTCAAGAAAAGAAATATGTAAAATGAGGTGGTGTATATATCTAAATGTATGTTGCGTCAGCTACTGTTATCTTTCACTCTTAATGTCTGTGACGTGAATGACAATCAAAACATTTTACTTTGTGTATAATTATTGCATGTGAACCACAGATTGTTCTTAAGTAGGTATGTTATAGTTCATTACTTTTAGGATTTTCCGTTTTTCAAGTCAATCTATTCAAACTTATAGGTAGAAAATTCTTGGTGTTATTATTTATAAAAAGCAGTCGTTTATCTTGTAATTTTATTATCAGCAATGATCTCTTATCAGCCATTTCAGGTAGCTGAACTAAACATTAATGATTTCTTACAAAGTTGTTCTGCATCAACCTTTGGTTACATCCATAATGATCTTAATACTCCAAATTCTCTCAGATCAAAGGGCCACCTTGTCCTACTTTGCTGACACATATACCATTAAGGATTTGAAGTCTTTCACAGAATTTATAACTTCAAAATTTTAAAGCAGTAACTGACAACTAGGGAAAAGGAAAAAGAAAAAAATGTCCTAAAAACATGAAAGTCAAAACGAAGACCTTCCCATTTAATGAAGCAGATAAACCAACTCTTTCCCCTTTTAAATTTTGTGTCATACCCTTTGTGCACTTCACAATTACCTAATTTCTTGAAGGTGCCATTTCAACCCCCACATAAAAACCGTACCCACTCCAGCAATACCTCTCTCATTTTATCTATACATATATATATTCCTTCACCCCAAAGATATCATTACATTGGAATTCTAAGAGGGATCTTCTACAATCAAGAAGAACCTGAAAAACCAACTAAGGGTGCATAAATTTAAATGGCTTGTGGGTGTTCATCAACAGCAGTGGCAGAAAAGATTTCATGGAACTCTGCAGTGTTTGTGGCACTAATGCTGCTGTTCAGTAGCTGCGAGTCAAACACAAGAGATTTCACGAATCAGATGTTTGAGGAGTGTGTCAACAACGGCAATTATAAGGTGTGTGATGAGATTTACGTGGTTCGTGAGGGAGAGACCCTTCAAACGATCAGTGAAAAATGTGGGGATCCTTATATTGTTGAAGAAAACCCACATATCCATGACCCTGACGATGTTTTCCCTGGCCTAGTTATCAAGATTAACCCCTTCAACTATAGACCATAAAATGTTCCATTGTCCGACAGTTTTTTCAACCTCACATTCTGCTGTGAGAAATTAAAGTTACAGGTCGTTGAAAAAGATTCTTATAATGTGACCTCTTACGGTCTTAATTTTCGTGTCAATGGATGCATAATACAGGAAGTCAAAGTGGTTGAGTTTCAATTTTTCTGAATATGAGATAACATATTGTAATGAAGTTTTTGTAAGAGATGTATTTAGCTTAAAATAGATATGTTTTTTAAGTGATATTTTATAATCGAAGGAACTTTGCAAATTAGGTGAAGTTAGAATTCCAATCTAGATTAATGATCTGTGTTCTTTGATCGTACTATAATTTAACATTAAAAGCTTCGAAATTTTGCCGCTAGACATCCCAACGATAATTATCTTTTTGTCCAATATTGTAACTACGAAACTTTAAAAAATAAGGGTTTTTCTTTTAAATTTTTTTCCTTTTCCTTGACTGGAAGGATTGGTATAATTGCTATTAACTTTAGATAAAATGATCCCACCCAACAATTAATATTATTAAAATTTATCTGGTCTTCTATCATTTGTCTTGGTTTTTAACAAACATAAGAACATGCATAGAAGTTAATGACAATAATAAAAACCACACATTTCTGGTTGATTTTTGTATACAAAATAAACCTATCTTATTGTCAGTATAGGGTGTTACTTCCTCCACCACCACATTTTTTTCCTTCACCTCCCCAATTCTATTACATATTTTTTGAATTACAAAACTAACCTTTTATAATTACAAAAATAACCTTTTTACTTTTTATTCCTAATTATTTACTCCTAAAATCTATCTTTCTACCCCTTCTCACCCACCTCCCAACCCTCTTATATTCTCACCCAAACTCCATCACATTCGTTTCTCATCTTCCATTTTTTCTCCATATCCGTTTTCTTCTTCCTTCAGCGGTTTGGCGGTGTATACTAATAACAATAAAGATCCTCAAAAATACATTATTAAAATACATCAAAATATATTCAAAAATAATATATCAAAAAATATAAATTATATTATTTAAATATCTTCAAAATTAATATAAAAAAATTGTAAAATATAACCGTATAATCTTTAAACGGATGTGAGCATCCGTCAACGGATGTGAGCATCCGTCAACGGATGTGAGCATCCGTCAACGGATGTCAACATCCGTTTAAGGGAAAAATCCTGAGTTGCAAAAAACCAATTACATTCACTAGTACAGAAAGAGCTTTTAACGTCTGTTATTTTGGCCTTTTAACGTCAGATCCAAACCCGACGTCTATGTGGGTGACATTAATCAGACATCAGACTATATACACCAGACATTTATATAGACGTCAAACTGTATACACCAGATGTCTATATAGACGTCAGACTATATACACCCGACGTCTATATAGACGTCGGTCCGTATACACCAAACGTTTATATGGACATCGAATATAGATGTACCAGATGTTTATATAGACGTTAGATGTATCTGTGTCCGACGTCTATAGGCCTGGAACATTTTGACCACTGTAACTCATTGGACGTTTGTTTGCGCACTGACAGATGTCTATAGACGTCGGACATGACATTAACAGACATCTACGATTTTAAAAAAAAATAATAATTTATTTTTACAATAAAACCACTCCTGAAAAACAGAAAATTGTCCCAGAACAGTATACTATAATATATATTGTCCCAGAACAGTATACTATAATATATATATATATATATATATATATATATATGCGTTTCAACTAAAGAAAGTTCTAATTAGTCTAAAAAACAACCCAATACCAAAACTATCAAAATATAAACTTAAACTAAACCTAAGTAATGTTCAACAACAAATATAAGTGTTCCTAGCTCCATCTTTGCAGAAGATAAGCTGTCCACTCCTGCCTTATCTGCCTAATTGTGTCCTTTGGTATAGGAGATGTACTCTTGAAGCGCTGCAAAATGAAGAAAGATTCAATATGGTTTCATATATGTTCAAAGATGAATTTGATTTTTAATGTATTAAAGGTATGCATTATTACCTCATTCCAGTCATCTGTAATGGCAGCTCGAATGATGGTCTTAATCCAAGACTTGACATAGAAAGCACATTCCCATGAATCTAGCTGCTTGTTACANCTAAAGAAAGTTCTAATTAGTCTAAAAAACAACCCAATACCAAAACTATCAAAATATAAACTTAAACTAAACCTAAGTAATGTTCAACAACAAATATAAGTGTTCCTAGCTCCATCTTTGCAGAAGATAAGCTGTCCACTCCTGCCTTATCTGCCTAATTGTGTCCTTTGGTATAGGAGATGTACTCTTGAAGCGCTGCAAAATGAAGAAAGATTCAATATGGTTTCATATATGTTCAAAGATGAATTTGATTTTTAATGTATTTAAGGTATGCATTATTATCTCATTCCAGTCATCTGTAATGTCAGCTCGAATGATGGTCTTAATCCAAGACTTGACATAGAAAGCACATTCCCATGAATCTAGCTGCTTGTTACACTAAAATTATAAACTAAATAGTCAAGAATTGTGATCATTCAAGAACATAGAAAATGAATTAGAACTATAAATAACTTACAACCTTTGGATACAAAACTTGAACTAGTTGACTTCGGGATTTATCCATAACTCTATTTAGATTGAAAACACAAAGTAAAATTAATATAACTATATTTATGATAAAAATTTAAGGTCAACATGAAATTCAAAGTCATTTTTGGAGAATCACTTACCCTTGAAGCATGCTTCTCAAGTCATTTTTCATCTTCCTGTGCAGCGAACAAAACCATATAATTTTACCTTGTTTGGGAATGATTCCCATCAACTTCTAGTGAGACCTATCATGAATCATAAATAGTTAGTAAACTAATTAAGTAAGCTTTAATGAACTTTTACATAAAACAAAATATACCCATCAATGTATGGCACAAAATATACGTCTCTATTTGACTCAACCATCCATGATTGCAAATAATATTGTTTGCTTTCAAGTGTGTTACCAGAAGCTTGAATGGTCTGAGGTTCAACAAATCCGTACATGGAAGATCGATCTTGGTCTACAACGATTGTGCCTATGTACCTAAAACAAAAAAGTTAAGTTGTTAGAAACTAGGAATCTAAGTAAAAATAATATGGAAGACAAAATTAACTATCTTACGTGCACCATAGTTGAAGGATGGAAATATTCAACATCCTGTCTCCCCCAATGATCTCCAATGCATCATTGAATGTGATATATAATGGCACATGGGGGGAGACCAAATACTCTCAAATCCCAGTATATTTCTAATGGTCCTCTCTTCAACCTGAGTAATCTTGTCATTAGCTTTGATAGAGGATCATCCTTCGCTTCAACCATCTCACCATCTTAATCTATGACTGGGTCATGCATCGACTGCTTCTAAGGACGTGTGAACTGAAGATAAGAATTTCAAAGTTATAAATAAATATTTTTAAATTTAACATACAAATACTAATAATAAAAATATTATACCTATGGAGTAGCAATGAGTGACATGATCAATGCTCTAGGCCAAGCTATAAATGATCCTATGGCCTCCCCCGCAAAATGAATTTCTGGAGTGGGTACAGGCACCTGAGCCTGGGGATCCCAAACCTCGTCAATCATCACACGCACGTGCTGGGGTAATATGGGAACACCATGAATAGTCTGCCCTCCCTCAAGTACTCGTCCAACAACCACAATGCGTGGGGGATCCCCATCAACCAACAGCTCATACTGACCACTATACTTAGTAGGTTCTACAGCAGAGCATGATCCTCTAGTGCTGACACGAGGTGTTGTGGGAGCTTCAATGGGCAACCCCACGGTGTCCTGCGTCATGGAATGCAGCTTCTCTTCAAGCGCTCTTTGTATTTCTTTTTGTTCTTGTAGCTGCTCCATGAATCGTTGCTCCATTGATCTCATGCTTTGGTTGAGTCTTTCCTCCCACTGAAGATCCATCTGCCTCAGTAAGTCCTGACTCGTTGTTCGAGTGTTTTTTTGCCTAGGGCCAAAGTAGTTACGAAGACCAATCGCCCCAAGAACTCCACGTACACGTCCTGGGTGCTCAGGCTTTCCAATGGCCATTGTTAGAATGTCGTCCCTACCTTGGCCAGCAAATGTTCCCTGAGTCTGTTGCTCAACCAACTCATCCTGCACATAAAAAAAACTTTGTTACTTAAAAGACATGCTATGATAAATACACAATCAAACAATGTTTAGAATTTGAACTTACAATTCTTTGTGAGACAAAGGGAGCCGAGGAAGATGTCATGTTCCCATCAGATTTAGTCCGAGCAACCTTCCACAGCTCGTACCTAGCAGGTCAGGTGCTAGGTCGGGGGACTCAAGCCCCAAGGCCTCCGCTCGACTCTTTCTAGTTTTCTTCACAAGTTTTGCACAACTACCTCGTTATAACAAGTGAGGTGCACCATTTAGCCTTTGCCTTTCTTGGGCACTTAACCTTTTACCCTATGAAACCATTTATATTCGTAAGTGTAAAATCATAATAAACTTCATGAAAGACTTTGTAGATGTTAAGACACATACCTTCCATTCCTCAGACTCTCTAAATGCACGAAACTGCATCCACTCCTCCTCTATGAAGGTATAATGCTGACATGGATTCTCATATTGTCTATCTCCAAAGACATATAGACGTGTCAGCCTTGTCTTGAAATCCCTCCACCTGATTGCTATATGCGATAACACTTTCTTTCTAATCTGTCCATTGTTTGGAATATCATAATGTTGCTGTTTAAAACAAAGAACATGTTAAATGACATAATAAGATCAATTTCAACATGTCTCCTCTACCCATCAACTCGTTCGGATGTCACATCTTCTAATCGTGTGACACCTCGACCACGGTTGGTGTGTCCTAATCCAGAGTCTGAGGTCGACTTACCTGAAAAATATATACAAGGTTAGTACTAATTCAAATATGATGAATAAAACTACATATAAAGTCATTACAAGAAATATACAAAAACC